TTGGACCAAGATGTTATTTGTAGTGGTCATGGGTTTAAAATATGTCTGAAGCCTCAAGATTAAGTTTATTTTGAAGATAAACATATTATTCTTTTGATTCAAGGACTGATAATGCAATTAAGAATCACTGGAACTCTACAATGCGTCGAAAGTATGAGTCGGAGGAAAAAACGGGAGTAACAGTAGAAGCAAAACGTGGCAAGGGTAAGGCCAAAGCCCAAGCATGTACCCCAGATGGTTATAGTGGTATTGAGTCAGTGAGCAGCGTACAATACCAGACTGCAGCACCCAGCTACCAAGAAGGTTCCCAGCAGTCTCCTGTACAACAAGGTGTTGTTGGAGAATACCCAACACTTGCAGCTATTACTTTGGACGTGTATGAGGTAAGAGCAGACTCCCTGGTGATGCTGAACTATGGTTGGCAATTACTTTTGCTTTAGGGACCAGATTGGGCTATTTAAAAATGTCTAGACCAGAGTGCTCTGTGGAAAATATTCCGTAGTTTAATAATTGTTAACTGCCCATCAATTATTAGTGCTGACTGAGTTTACTTAATAGATATAACAGAAGACACAGGAAATTTTTTGGCAGCTGTTCCAGGGCATTGGTTGCCACCTTTCCTATTTGGTCAGCAGCAGCAGCAATAGTGAGATTGCAGCAAAGTTGTAAAGTGAAGTTTACTGCCCACAGTACAGGAAATGCTGATAATGTTCCCCATTGATTCTTGATATATTCCCCACACCTTCTAAATAGATTGACTTTTTACACTGTAGTTGTTCTTTGACAATAGAGGAACTTGAAGATGAATTATTTCTCAGAGTTGTGTGTGTGGATTTGTTCATTAGACTTCAGTTTTTGAATATTTCCACTCACTGAAGATGTCTTTGTGTTGATATTGTTTATGAAGTGCTTCTGTTTGTATAAGTTTGTGTGTTTATTTGTTACAGTGTATGCCAAGTTGCCATCTTACCTATTGGAATATAATAATATTATTATTTCTTTGTTGCTTGATAATGTTACCTGCTGTGTAAGATCGTTAATGTTAAAATGCAAAATCTGTCTGCCATCCTGATATCCAGTTGTATAGTAGCTCGGTCTTTAGCCGTGACAGTCAAATCTCTCACATCCCTCTTACCGCCTACTGCTTGCTTTATGTAAGGCTTCCAGAATATCACCCTGAAGATAGCAATTGCAATATTTGCCTAAACAGTGGATAACTTGTAATATTAGAGTGGATTAACCTCAAAAGCCAAAGTTTTATATTGAACTCTGAGTGTGAAAACCTAAAGACAAGATATTTTCCTGTTTGAATGTTCACACAAGACAGGCTACTGAAGAATTTATAGTGATTTTGTTGTTATTGTAATTTTTTGTGTTACTTTTGTAGGGCACTGATTGGTCTCCAGAGTATTATGATACATTGAGTCATTCAAGTGCTGGATACTCTCAGACTGGCCCAAGTCCAGTGCCATCTGCAAGTCCTGTAGTATGCCAGGTGTCACATACTCTTAAGCCAGCTGAAAAAAATATGCCACCTAATTATGAGCAGGAATATAAGCCACAATCCCCTCAACACAGAACGTCATCACAGATATTTTCACCACTCAGGTAAGTGTTTTGTTTCAGTTATTTGCATTGTTATGGCTTCATTGCTTTGTCATGACCAAAGTAAACTGACTACTGTTATTGGTATTTGTTATGGAATGGGAGGATATCCAAATTTTCCTGTCTGCTGGTGGATGGTGCCCAGAACTGTTGTTCAGACTCGGCAAATTCCAGCTCTGGTAGTAAGGCACGGTGCCATTTGGCCATATACCCACTCCCACAATGACAACTAGGCATATAAACCAAATTATGTTTCTGTGCTTCCTAGGCAAATACATACACTCTTGGTAGTCTTCAGTACTTGACCAAACTCAGGTATTGACCCAAAGTTTCTATCATCTAATTACAGTAGGGCACCGCTTATACGGCGGGGTAGGGACCAGACCCCCGCCGTAAAGCGAAAAACGCCGAAAAGCGGATCTTTGCCTTATTTCACTTGCATTAGAGTTCATTCGTGTGGCACTTTTAATTTCATTTAACACTTTCTCCTTAGCGTTCACGATGGCACTAACAGTTTGGCGAGCTAGGCCTAGCTTACGTCCTATCTCGGCCATAGACATGCCTTGTTCACGAAGTTTAATTATATCTAACTTGGCATTTAAAGTAAGAGGCTTATGACTCCTCTTTTTATCGCTACTACCCTTAGACGTCTTTGTAATTACTCTGTAGTAACACAAAAATATTACATAAATATACAGTTTGTAATAACTCTGAAAAATTGCCAGAAATACGGAGACGCGCAGCGCACAAAAGCTGTAAACAGACTGAATCAGCGACGAGAAAATGGCGCCGGATGCACTTCTCTGACTCAGCTGTATTAGCGAATCGCCGTAAAGCGAAACGCCGAAAAGCGGGGCCTTACTGTAGTTCTTTAATTTTTTCCATTTCCATTTTGTTATAATTCACAGTCACAAATTTAATGAATATACATTCAGCAGTTCTTGAGTTGTTACATGTGAATAGATGACATTACAGTTATAATGGGCGTATTGCAACTTTTAGCCGTGACCACATCTAAAGAAATGTTGGCCCTATATGTTCATGAAGATGTCAGACTAGTAGTTTGAAATATATAAAAAATCTCAGAATGTGCTGCCATAATTTTGTCTTTGATATATGTCATAGATGTGGTGCTGGAAAGATTGTGACAACCAATTGTGTTTATAATGTGACATGCATTATGATGTGAAAGGTTAATATACAGAGCAAGTCTAAATGATGTTCCCGATTTGAAACACATGTTACTAACGTTTAACGAAATTCAGATGCACAAAATTGGTACTGATGGAAAGAGAAACTCTCCCAGTTTATGTTGGTATACTTCGCGGCCGCATAGTAACACTGTTTGCTGCCAGGGGCGATATGAGAGAAAATGGCTGCCATCGAAGACGGTGGAGCCTTTTTTGTCCTGGATTTCCACGTTCACCGGACCTGACACCCTGTGATTTTTTTCTGTGGGGGTTCGTCAGTGATAGAGTATTCGTGCCACCCTTACCACAGACTTTGCTTGATCTGCGAGCGCGTATCACAGCAGCAATTGATCATGATATGCTGCAACGTGTCTGGGAGGAACTCGACTACAGGCTGGATGTGTGCCAAGTTACCAAGGGGGTTCACATTGAATACCTGTGATGCACTGAAACAAAACTTGGAGAGTTTCTCTTTCCATTGGTGTCAATTTTGTGCATCTGAATTTCATTAAACGTGAGTAGCATGTCTTTCAAATCAGGAACATCATTTAGACTTGCCCTGTATACATATTACATGCTGTAAGAAACTAACCTCAAAGCATTGGTCAGATTACATGGCAGGCCTGGCAGAACCTACTTTGACAATTTGGTTGGTCAGCAGTAAGAGGATTAAGAGTTTTTTGATGTTGTATTTATTTTTAAGTGTAAATTTAACTTATTTTTGTATTTTTGTTTGTTTGATCAATAGGGAATTTGATTTTGAAATTCTGAACACACAATGTACTCCACTGAAACTGGTTCCCTCACCAGATGAAGGATTTGCAGATTTAAATATGATGGACTTGGTAACTGATAGTGAATATATTGCCTCTAACATTTCACCAGAGAAGGAGATGGCTGAAAAGAAGCAGTTGCATATAGGTATATGATGTGCATATGAATATTTTCCTTCATTGTTTCATGATTGTAGTTTCTGCATCTAATGTATACTATTTTATGACAGTGCATTTGAGATTACTGAAATTATTACATATTTTTAAATAATGTTACACTTTATTTTGTTATTAATGTTTTTGGTTTGATTTGCAGGTTACACATGTGATAGTCAAACCATCCACACTACAAGTAATAATGTGACATGTTCAGGCATGACTGCTGATAGTCTAATTCATGTCACTCCTTCATGTGTTGGCAATAGATTATCTCCACCATGTATATTAAGGCGAGGTTCTCGCCACAAGCGACGAAGAAGTAAAACTTCAGAGCAGCTGAACAATTCATCTGATTTCATTTTACCTGATGACCTTTCTGTATCAAAGTATATGGTGAGTGGATGTTCAGTGTGAAGTAACAAATGGAATTGAATCCACTAACATTCATACATTCACTTAAAGAACTTAAAAATAGGGAGACATGTATTTTGAATTCTTACTGGCCTACTTGTTTTTGTGGTGTTGTAATGAAGCCTAAACATTCAAGCAATTTATTCTTTTTTCTCTTTTTGCAAAAGTTTGGCCTCTAATTTTTTTTCAAATTGAATCTGTTGGTTGTTTATGAAGATTTCCATTAACAAATACGAGTTACTCAAGAACAAACTTCAGAATGTGTATATAATAACTGGCAGGGTTTCCCCCACACGAGCAGAAATTGTACTATAACTGAGAGTTAAGCTGCGTTGACATTGGATCTACTAGATTGAAGTACAGTGTCGAGTCCACCGTGATGTAAGGCTGGAATAGGTAACATGAGTAGCCAGGTGCATGATTATCTGCACTTCCTGGCTGTGTTTCAGTTTGGTTAATCATAGATTGTTTGGACATTAATTCATAAAATTGGTTTTGAGAATGCAGTGATACACATTTACATCATGTCAGTGTGCACATGCTTGTGGGAAATGGTCATGAGTTGCAGTATGTACTGTTTTCTGAAACTTGGCCAGCACAGTGATCAGCAGGCGAAAGCAGTGTGCCACTGTTGTTGGAGTTGGTTTTTCACTGCTTTAGGTTATTAGTTGTTATGAGAGCTGTTTTGTTTTACTACTACTGTTTTGATTAGTGGCAATATTTAGGATTGAACTTGGAAACTTTAGAGCCCTCAAGTTTGATCCTGACCACTGTTGGTCAGCGTACAAGTTTAGTGTTCAGAAGTTTCTGGGCATAGTGGAATCAACCCCAAAATCTTTGGGTACCAGTACATCACATCATTTATACAACAAACAATATAATTGCCAGTGTAATTGTGGTTTATTGAAGTAAGCATTGTCCTAAACCTTCATGGAATCCTTCTTTGTAGTTGTAACCGCCTGTCCGCACACGATGTGTTGTTCGTTTGTTGTAGCCACGGGATTGACTCCAGTGGTGTGCCCAATGCTAGTGTGGTTACAGCTATGTATGATTCAGTGTATGGACAGGAATAAAATGGTATCTCGGTAATTTGATATAGTGGCTAGTCAGTAAGCAAGGTTCTCTTGACACACTAAGAATATACGTGGAAGGCGGTTATTGAAGTTGCGCTTTCATGAAGGTAGTGAAATCTTGTAGTTGATGCAACTGGAGACAACACAGTTGCTAGTTTTTAAGATGTTCACTTTATTAACTTATTGGCACAAGCACATGTGAAACCCTTCACATTGATATTAAATCAGCGCTATGATTCGGCTGTTTATGCACTAAAATTTAGTGAAGAAGCAGAACACGTCTGCTTGACTTGAATCCCGAAACTTGAGAGCCCCAACAACACAAGCACAGCTAGAAAAACCCCCGCATCCTGTAGTTATTCTCAAATTTTGACTGGAATACAGCGATCCAATTTGTCCCCCCAGATGTCACCCAATGACGTCAGAAATGTGCCGAAAAGCCATATTCGAATCTCATTGGTTCAGGTTGCCCCACTGCTACTGTTCTAGAGCAACTGTCATTTAACATCTAGTAGTAGTTATGTTTTAGCCTCGTAAATAACTTGTGTGTGAAAGCTTTGTGAATGTCACGTCACCACTAGACTGAAAGTCTGGAAGAAAGTTGTTCAAGTGACTGAGTGTTGCTACTCTCTTCCAATTTAATACATTAAACAAAGCCAATATTAATAAAATCAATCAATTTAGATTAATTAAGGCATATCAAATATTATCTAATCACTTATCCTTCATTTATATAAACCAAATTAATATGCCAAAGCTTAGTTTAACTTTCATCTCAAGGTTCAGCCTGTTCGGGAATCGAACTACGAACCTGGACTGGCACATAGTGTTCTTAATTTCATTTCTTGCCTGATGTCCTATTTCAGATTTTATTAATTTTTTCTATGTAGAAACTTCTTCATCACTCCTTGTAATCACTCATGTCTCTTGTAGCCATATAAAAGTTTCTCTTCATAGTGTTGTAGTAAAATGAAAGGCACATTACACAGAGTTGATATCTTATATAGGTTTTTTGACCTTGTTTAAAACTGACCTGTTCTGCTGTTTATTTTCCCAGGATGACACTGGAATGTGTTCATCATATCTCTCCATCCCTAATCTGGATCCTCACAGGACACCAGTAAAAGCATCACCTATAAAGCCATTACTGTTCAGCCCATCACAGGTGAGTGTATTGGACACCATACAATTCACAAATTCACATAAACTTGTACAGGCATACCTCGGAGATATTGTGGGTTCGGTTCCAGACCACCGCAATAAAGCGAGTCACACAATTTTTTTGGTTTCCCAGTGCATATAAAAGTTATGTTTACACTATACTGTAGTCTATTAAGTGTGCAATAGCATCATGTCTAAAAAAAACACTGCAAGAATTTCCAAAATGTAACACAGATACACGAAGTGCGCACATGCTGTTGGAAAAATGGTGCTGATAGACTTGCTTGACGCAGGGTTGCCAAACCTTCAGTTTGTAAAAACGCAATATCTGTGAAGCGCAGTAAAACGAGGTATGCCTGTATTCTGAAAAGTTTTTTTTCAAGTTAAGTTTTGTAATTACAGCATCTGCCTAAGAAATGTGTGAAGTTTAGATTCTTGCCTCACAGTGATTGTCTATAGAGACAGTGTTTTATTTTGTGCTATTGAATTGCTGTAATTGTTGTGTTTAATGAGAAATAGATGAAGATGATTAACTCTGGAGGTTACATTTGTTTATTTTTTGACAACAAAGACTGTTCCAAAAGTGCAATTATCAGTTGCTCATGAGTTGTGTGATGAGAAAGGAGCTAACTGTCAAACCCATGAATCAGCTGATGCTGTTATAAAAGAGCAACCATCAGATTTTAATTTCTTGAATGTTTTGAGTTGTATTACCTGTGAAAGAAGTTTTTCATAACTGCCATGTAAGCATTTGATCTTTGATTAACATAAAATACTAAATACCTGAAATCATATTCATTACTTTGTAGATATTAAGATATGATGATGTTGAGATATTAAGACATTTTCTGTACTGAACATTCCTATGTATTTAAACCTACCTGGTATTATAATGCTAGTGATATAGTGTGCTGTTACAGTTATTCTGTTTGCAGTTCTTAAACAGTCCAAACCTATCCTTTAATGTGGGTTTATCAGCGACGCCCCTACGACGATGTACTGTCACTGCACAGTCTACGCCTCTGCAGCAGCAGGCAGAGCAAGAGAAGGAAAACAGTCCAGGACTCCTGAGTACTCCATATTCTTTCCCAATGCAGCCAACGAAGCTAAGTCTGATGAACAGGAACAGTGATCCTGATCATTCCACCCCAAGTAAAGCGAGACGGTGTCTTGCTGATCCTATGCCGAGAACACCAACACCATTCAAGAATGCCCTGGCTGAACTAGAAAAGAATGGAGGCATTGCTAAATACATGGTAGAGTGAAGCTTCATTCTTTTAATTTATACCAATCAGTCCAGAACAGTGTAATACAGTATTCAGTTCTGGGTTTGAGTAACTTTCAGAGCATAGATCTTGTCCCAAAAATACAGAGCATTCCACTGAACCATTTGTGGTATAACCTTTAGCCTTGTGTTTAATAAAATACTGGCCCAACCACATTTAGTTATACTTAAAAAATATAGTCTTTTATGTGCTGAGTAATGATACATTCTTATCCAGAATATTTGTCAGTAAAATACTTCCCATGATTTTACAGCAGCACATTTCACAGCAACATAATGAATTCTGTGTTTATTCTGCAATTCATGTTTGAGATTTCTAAGATAAACATTGTGGATTCTGATTTGCCACACCTCACAAAGGATGTTCTTTGAACTTTCTGCTGCATGTTTAAAAAAATTGTGCAATCAGTTTGCTGGACTACATGAACAATCCTTTGGAACCTTTCTTTCAACAATTAATGGAAGAAGAAAAGGGGTAATACCATATAAAATGATACTTCAGTTTTTGTGTAAGTTTTCAAAATGGTCTTCACCCTTCATGCCTTTGACTAGAATTTCATATGTACTTCTCATCATTTCAAGGCATGCTACATGTCCTATTGAGTTCAGCCTCCTTTGTTTGAATACAATATTGTGAAGCTCCTTATTATACAATTTTTTTTCCATCCTGTTCACAAACCTAAAACTGTGTTGGTGTTTTATGCTCTTGTGCATTTATAGGGTTTATGCAAAGAGTTTTTGCCCGTTTGGTTGGTAACAAAGAATCTGGAGATTGGGTTTTTTTAAAGTGGAGTTTGTTTTACCTATTGACTAGTTATCTTTCCTTTTCATTCAATATATAACCCCTGCAGTTGAAATAATTGAGTCAATAGTTCATCTTAAATGGCCCCTTCAGTTTCTTTTTATTGTTGGACATGTTTAAAATAAGTTACAATTTTTACATGCAGGGTATGGGAAGGATATGCCCCCTGCAAAATATATATGCTTTCTCACACACTCATGACAGTACCAATAGGCATGTGTCACACTGTAAAATTAGTTGTATTGATAACTGTACTTTTCAGTATATTTTGTTTTGTTGGTGAACGAGTTACCTTGTATCTATTCTTGTGTTGTTAGCCAAATGAAATGCGTTCTTGACATCTTTTAATAGGCTTATAACACAAAGTTATTTTGTACTCATTGTGTATGAAATTTTACAGTTGTGAAGTATACTGTTTGTGTGTGTACATAACTGTGATGGATTTTTCTTTTATTTCCAGCCACAGAGCCCTACTTGCCTGGTTGAAGACCTTACGGAGATCATAAAGAAAGAACAAGATCTGTCAGATTCACAATATGAAACAGACAGTAGTTTGCTGTACTCAAATCAGGTGTGTATTAATTTTGTGCAAATTACTAATACAGATCATGATTTTGTTGCTACAGTGAGAGAACAATTTATATCTTAACTGCGTCATGTTGCAATCTACTGCCCCATAATATCGGACGTACAACGCATCACTTACAACCCGATATAAACATCCAAGCATTAAAAGGAAGAAAATCAAAACAATCAAACGTATCAATATACGCGGAGCAGGATGTACAACAGTTTTTAAAACAGTTTTTAAATTGATTGACCTGATGATGGTGTAATACACCGAAACATGTCGTCAAATGTGAAATGTATCAAGATCTAATTTTAAAAAATGTTGTAATTTTATGTAATCTTAAGTAATTTTAACAACATTTTAAGTTTGTGTATGGACGGTGAATGAATTATTATAGTGAGAGAACAATTACTACTCCAGGAGTCAGATTCACTGAAATTTTCCATTTAAGTAACCTACCAATGCAGGTAATTTCCCTATTAAACGGCATGGAATGATAATGTAAATTTCTTTTTCTGATACTTATACTTAATGCCTATACGAGCTTCAGAATTCTCTTTGTAGCTTTGCCACTCTTTATCCTGATGGTTAATAATTCCACTGTATTCACACATTCTATCTTATTTCTCCACTTTTTTTTTTACAATTTGTTATCTGTTCAACGCTGTTACCAACCATAACCCTTTAAAGCCTAGTGATGTACCACATGCTTTAATAATCAGTAACTCTGCATTTTGTCTGCAGAGTATGTTTATGAGTTCTGTATGATTCCTATATTAAACATTTATTTCCCTAATATTAACCAGTGAATCTTTCTAATTGATGTACATTATGTTTTATTTGAGGTGCAGACTGCTTTTTTAAATATTATTTATATGAAATTTGGCTTCAAAGGGTTAAGTTAAAAAGAAACTGACAGATGATCGTATTGTGTTAAACATTTTTTGGGCTGCTAAAGTGAGGGAAGCTGGAAGTCATGGCTGGAAAGTTTTGAATTTTACTTTTCTGTGGGTATTTAATTGTGAAGAGAAAGGGGATTGTGAATTTAAAAGCTGTAGATCAGATTGTAGAGTTGTGTTATTGTGGGTAATTTTTCCCTGAATTAAGTTGTTGACAGTTGGCCAGTCTCTGTTCTTTGTCTGGTTGTTTTAAAAATGTTATTTGTATTATGACATTAATTGAAGTTTAGAAAACTGAATCATGAATCTGGATAGCTGAGGGAGTAAGCAGTCAGGGTTTATTTTAAGTTACCATACCTGAAACATGCCTTGAGAGACTGACAAAAACTACCGAAATCTTTAATATTATTGCATGGTATTGTTCTGAGTTTGTAACATATAGGGTTTTAGATGGTTACAAACATTTCAGAGAAACCAATTCTCAAGGGAAATGTTCTCTTTTACCCTAAAGATGGAGGATGGCATAACAATTAAAATTTTAACTGCTATGAAATTTCATGTTTCATCAGTCATGATAATCATTTGCTGGCCAGAATTTGAAACAGGGACCTTTAAACACTTCTAGTGCTACAGCCATGTGTACTAGTTCAATCCTGGGCAGGTAACTGATTTTTACTATTTTTCATAGGCCAGAAGAGACGCTGGGGATGTGTTCCTGGACGAACCAGCGTAAACTGAATCGGCGTAAATTGAAACTCTTTTATAATGTAAATCAATGGGAAGTCGGTGACATGCGTTCCCAGCACCCAAATATTGATGAGTAATATAATGACATTACATTTAAAGCTCTGAAAAAATGTAAATAAAATAAAGGGAATTTAAAAAATATATTTTATACACTTACGGTCGTCAATTCGTTTATCTCCGCAATTGACTGCGATTCTTTCATGTGATTGATGTGTACAGTCATCTCTGCTGTTATGCGATAGTTGCATTCGTGTAAGACGCCGACCTATAGAAAATCGCATAGTAAAAATAACCCCAGTACCTCCGCAGAGATTAAATTAGCCCTTTGAAAGTTTAAAGCACCAGGAATTAAATTGCACAAGAGCAAACTCACATATGCAGAAGTTTGCATTTCACAAACAGCTTTTACCGATTCAGCGATCTCATTGGAGCAAATTTGCATTAACGAAACATGTAATTGTAGAGATAACTGTATTTATAATTTTTATTCAAAATCAGCGATGTAAGAATTACGATTTAGTATAAGAATCAGTACGAGAAACATTGTAAAACGTTATAAATAATAGTAAAATATATTCTTTTCACTTTTTGACTTTCTTGTTTCAAAATCGGCGTTATTCTGAATCGGCGCAAATCGAGGGCTACCTGTATTATGTCCAAACTGCACTGAAAGCATAAACATTTGAGAGCTGTAATGTTATGGTGGCCACAGTCTCAAGTGTTAAATGTGAATGACTTATTGTTGCTATACATATCTGCTCTTAAGATAATTGATCTTGAATGGAATTTAACATGAACCTCCTCAGTGTGTGTTTGGTGTGCTGTTTCCTGATCAATTCTGCTCTAAATTGTTCAGGAGATGCTTCAAGACAGCGGTTATTTAACAGCAAAGCGCAAGGTGTTGCTGCCCATTGGAAAAGAGAATGCTCAACCGAACAAGAGGGTAAGGAAGGCATTGGCACCTTCATGGAGTACACCAGGAAATATTTCTGTACCAGGGGTCACTGACATTTCCTACACAGCAGAGACACCGGTATGGATTGCTGTTACGTATTATCTTTGAATGCAATTAGATTTTCATTAGAACTAACCATTTCTTCAATTGCTCTTCTTTATAGCCAGAGGTAACTATTAACTAACTAGATGGCTTAGGGAACCTGAAGGTTTATCACCAAATTAACCAAAGCCCTTCATTGGTCCCTGCCCTGGGCAAGCAAAATCCAGTCGCCTTCAACTCCGATCTCCCATAGATCCTACTTGACATTATCCTCTCATCTGTGTCTCCCCAGTGTTCTCTTCCCCTCGGGTTTCCCAACCAATATCTGGTGCACACCTCTTGTCCCTTCCATGCACTCCACATGCTCTGCCTATCTCATTCTCCTTGACTTAATCACCTGACAATATTGTGGGTGGAGTACAAATTTTTAAGCTCATCATTATGCAGTTTTCTCCATACCCCATCCTCTTCTATTCTAGGCCCAAATATCCTCCTCACCCTATTCTCACACACCTTCAATATGTGTTCTTTTCTGAGAGTGAAACCATATTTCACACTCATATTAAAAAAAAGAGGAAAAATTATTGTTTTGTGTATTTTAATCTTCAAGTTCGTAGAAGTCAGACTAGAAGACTAAATATTTTGAACTGAAATGTAACAAGCATTTCCAGAATTTAGTCTCCTGCTAATTTCCTCATGAATATCATTTTGATTTGTTATTGTTGTTTCCAAATATTTGAACTCGAAGGTAACTATTGCAAAGGTAAAATTGCCTGTTTAAGTGCCACACTCTGTGTTAGGTTGTTGTATGGTGTCTTGCCACTCATCTATGCTTGAGTCAGAAATTTGATTTAGTGTCGGGATAATAAGACATCACAACACTTTGGATGAAGTTGCCAACATTGTGTTGTAAGACTTTATGAGGCTCTTCTATTCTATATCTGCAGTGTTGTGTGGGGGATAGGTGTCATGACACTCACTGTCGAGTTGCTGGCATCTTGTCTTACAGAATTATGATTCTAATCTTTTCTATGTCTGGAATATTATGTCTGCATCTTGACAATAATCATAATGATGCTTGGTGTTGAGTGTCAGGCGTTGAATCATGTGGTGTATGTTAACTTGAGTTTGGTTGTTTTTTGGTTGAGTTACATAAGGTCAGTTTATGGTAGGTTATGTTCAGTTAAGCTTGGTTAGTTTGGGTTAGGTTAGGAATGAGTTAAATTGGGTTAGGGAGGTTATAGTAAGAGAGGAAATGTTCACAACTTTGTCACAAAGTCACCATCTTGTCATATGGCGTCCTGCCATCTGTCTTTGCTTTATTGTGAGTCTTTGCCAGTGTCAGGACAGTAGGCACTGTGACATAGTGTTGCATTGTCAACCTTATTGCATTGCTTTCTGAGGCTCATGTTTTGTATATGCAGACTCTTCATATGGTATCTGGATGGTAGGTGCTGCTACACCTAGCATCGGGTTGAGTTGCTATTATTGTGTCTTGTGGCATAGGGTTACTTTATGTTGTTTTATTTTATGTTGGGTTGTTATGCTAGGTTATGCTAAGCTAAAGAAATGGTTTGATAAGTTGTCGGCTGAATTGAGTAAGGAAATAGTTTTGTAAAATGTGGACTGGTTTGAATTAATTCACTGTGATGAAAATTCTTCTGGAGATTGACATTTTGAAGGAACTTCCTGCTTCTTTTAAGGTTGGGGTAGCAATTTATCTGAAACTTCAGCAAGTTTGAATGCTTTGATGTGTTGCAATACTTAGAAGACTATAGTGAGTATGGACCACTATGAAAACTTTGATAAAAGTACAGAATTTATTGAATAGTTCAGTAATCATCAGCTGGTATAGGAACAGCTTGTACTTTTGCTTTCATTTGTTGCAGAGCAAGTCACTTGGTGGGCACACGTCAGTTCTGTTCTCACCACCATCCATTGTGCGAGATATCCTGTCAGAGGAGGTAGTTTTTATATCGACATCGGCACATGTGCAGCACCAGCAACAGCGATCCTCTCCAGTCACAAAGGTGACTTTTACCTGTCAGTGTGAATGTGCTCAACTGCTCAGCATGCCACATAGAAAGCACTACTCAAGATGCTGTTTCAGATGTAGCTTGTTTTCAGTTCCTTCTTGATAGATTGTCGGTACTAAATTGCATGATTGTGGTGGTAGGCAACAGATTATATAAGTCACCCAGAATGATTCTTGTAAGAGTTGCTTTGTGGAACTTTTCTAAGCTTAGGCCACTTTTATCTCTCTCCCTTACGAGATCTGATACAAACATTGTGCATCTGGAGGCCACTTAACATTTGTACTTTTTAATTCTTATCATAGCCGGCCGCAGTGGCCACGTGGTCTGAGGCATGGACCTTGTGCTCCTGGCCGCTGGGACCGTGGGTTCGAGTCCCACTCAAGCCATGGATGTTTGTCCACGTCTTTCTGTGTTTGCATAGGTAGAGGCCTTTCGTCGGGCTGATCACTCATCCAAGGAGTCCTACCATTGTCCAAACATCAAAATGAATAAATAAAAAACCTCGACACCTACGGTAAAAGAGGATAAAATAAAAAGAAAGAAAGAAAGAATTTTTATCATCATCATCATTAACATAGTAGCCATTGTAACTACGTACTTGTGTGGTAGCAGCACAAACACCATTAAAGAAGGGCCCAAATTTTGTTGTTGACACACAATTTACATTTACTTTTCAGTTTGATAGCAGTAAATAATGAAGCATTTGATATTAAGATATGAAATTATGTGTTTATTGTATCCATTGAATTTTTGTGTGTGTCAACAGTTACTAACTTGGTGAGAAGTTTGATTTAAATGTCGTAAATATTTAATGTAATTAGAAGAATGTGTACTATGGGAAATTGCGCACAGAAATATGTCATTAAATTAAATATAAACTTGCCATTTATAATAAAGTGAAAGTTCTTCGTAGAATATCTTGAATATGATTGCAGGTTGCAAATTAAGCTTTGGAAGGTGCAGTAAAAAGTCGGTTTTTTCACGTAGTTTTCCTCTGTCCTTCAAAGTTATAATAGGCTATGACTGTTTTGTCACATCTTTCGAAGAAACAATTCATGATTATCCAGTTATTTCCCATTCACCCTACATAGCCTAAGGTGTTGATACAACAGCATTAAATCTAGTTTTTCTAATGAAATCTTTTATGCTCCACTGTCATTCTATGGTGAGATGAGTTATTTTGTGAAGGTCTGTATCTTTCAAACATGGAATTTCTGTTGAACCATTTGGTTCAGCTACATAATGTTGCATACTAAAATCTTTATACAAGAACAAGATATTTTGTGCTTTTCTTTCACTTGCATTGAATTTATGAGGACAAAAGGTACTATTCAAATTGTAAAGAAGACAGACTCCTGCTATTTTGGTGGTAATGGGGAACAGGTGGAGGGTAAAATCAGTCAGTGAATCAAAGTATGGAAAGATTCAGATTTCTGTTGTTTTACTGTTGTATCCCGTTTAATTATTTTATTGTTTTAATGCTGAATGTATGTGCATGTTTATTGATTAATACTTTTGCATGCAGTTTTTTGTTTGTGTTAAGATAAGTGTATGTTGAAATAAGAGTCAAAGCATGTCTCAGGAAATAGGCCTCATATTAATTTAATGCTAGTTTTCATGCAGAAAACTCCATCTTGTTCCCAGATTGTATGAATTTATTCCCTTGTAGCTGCACACATTCATCACTAACAGATTCCATGGTATAGTCATTGTTGAAAAGTCTGTTATTGCTCATCTTGAATCTGAAGGTTCACTACTGCATTCAGAGATGCCTGTGCCCTGTCAGACCCTATCTTCAGCCAGTCTGTGTCCTCATTTTCACATGTACATACACATTCTCCTGTCTTGTATTACCCACTCAGCTTTGCCTAAATTTCTCAAGTAATGTCTTCCCTTGGTCCCACGCCGTAGCCGTGCGGTCTGAGGCATCATGCTTCGGACTGGCGATATGGAATGCACGCTGGTTCGAGTCTTGGGGGAGAAGAAATTTTCTCATGAGCTTTCGACCAGTGTGTGGGACCGGTGCCAACCCAGCATCGTGAGGATATTGGGGAGCTACAATGGGTAGTGTAATCTGGTCAGGAAAACTAGCAATGGCTGCTGACCACACGTCACCCTATATCTGGTTGGATGATCGTTCACCTCTGCTTAGGCATGTGAACGTGTGGCCAGCAGTCAAGCTAGTCAGCTTTGGCTCTCTGGAGCTGTTACGCCACGGATTTAATTTAATTTAATGTCTTCCCTTGAGAAATTTTTGGCCAAAAATTTGTATCATTTGTGATGGAAAGTATACATTAATAAGCAAAGTTGATAATTCATATGGATATTTATAAACTCTGCAGCTAAAAGTTCTCAAAAAATAACTTTTTCTACATTGAGTCTTTGAGGGAGATTGAACCTATAAGTAGGTAGCTTTTGTAATGGTTTCTTTATACAGTAGGGCCCCGCTTTTCGGTGATCTGCTTTATGGCGCTCAACAGCTGAGTCAGAGAAGTGCGTCCGGCGCCATTTTCTCGTCGCTGATTCAATCTGTTTACAGCTTTTGTGCGCTCCGCCTCTCTCTGTATTTCTGGCAATTTTTCAGTTATTACAAACTGTATATTTATATAATATTTTTGTGTTAATACAGTGTAATTACAATGGCGTTTAAGGGTAGTAGCGATAAAAAGAGGAGTCTTAAGCCTCTTACTTTAAATGCCAAGTTAGAGATGATTAAACTTCGTGAACAAGGCATGTCTATGGCCGAGATAGGACGTAAGCTAGGCCTAGCTCGCCAAACTGTTAGTGCCATCGTGAACGCTAAGGAGAAAGTGTTAAATGAAATTAAAAGTTCCACACCAATGAACTCTTAAAGTCATAAGAAAAAGAGATAGCCTTATTGCCGACATGGGAAAACTTTTAGTTATGTGGATTGAAGATCAAACGAGCCACAATGTGTGTACTACTGATATTCATTTTACTTTCATATCGTTTTCTTAGGCCTAGCGCTATTGTGCACTTACTATATGATAGTGTAAACATCTTATTGGGCTTTGATATGCATTTGCAAGTGAAAAAGGGCAAAGATCCGCTTTACGGCGGGGGTCTGGTCCCTAACCTGCCATATAAGCGGTGCCCTACTGTATTATAAAAATAAATGTGTTTCACTATGATTTAATATAATGTATCCCTAATTCTTGATCACAAGTAGTCACAATATACAATATGCACTTTATTGTTTATTAAGCAGTTCTCATTTACTTTTGAGTAGTTCTCTTTTACTTCTGAGTGGAATACATTCTTCTCCATACGGAACACAATTTTGCCATTGTTGAAACTAATCATCTTATTCTTATTTCTAATGTAGTGAGAAAATTCAGAAGGCTAATGTATAAATGTGTTCATTTTATCACAACACATTTCCAAATTGAAACTGCTGCAGAAATTCTTATTAAAAGTTATGACAGTAAATGGCTTTATCTTCCACACAGTTACAAACATACAAGTTCCTTCACTCTTAAGATGGTATTAATTTTCAAATAAATTAGACATGTATTCTGCTGTATACAGATGTAACTTATATATCTGCTGTTCCATCCCATACTCGATTGAACTTGCTCATTATGTCTTCCATGAACTGGGTTTATTTGTGACTGACACTATTTTACATGCCCATAAAAGACATTTATGTCTGCCATGTCCTGCAGTGAAGAATTGTGCATGTCCATTAAACACTTTGAATAAACTGATGTTTCAATAGCAATTCAACAACACTGTCTAAATAATGTTTATAATCTGGGTCTTTAACTTTAACATTACCTTTTGAATACCATTAATGGCAAAAGAAAAAAAGAAGAAAATTTTGATTGCAGAGACATCTCAAAATACTTTCCGATTTTCCATTGTAGCAGTAATTCGGTGGGTTTTTCTGATTCGTTTCTGGTATAATCTCATTCAATTATTCAGGAGGTATGAAGTTTGAATCTTGGCCAGATTTGCAGTTGTTTTGTCTGTCAGTCCTAGTGAATGCAGAGTGAATATCTTACCATGCATTATGACCAACATCCATACCTGCTAACAGTTATAGAACATCTTTCTGTCCTGTGTAGTTGAAACAGTGATGTTAAACAACATAAGAATTATGTAAGATTTGAAGATTGCTGTTTTCTGGGTTGTTGTGCTGTGTAGTCTGGTAGATGTCCACCAACCTCTGAAATGTTGGTGGACATCTACCGGACTACAGTCCACAGACCATGAGAAAATCCCTGCTAGGAATTCTATATACGCGCATGCGCAAGATTTCACGGTGAGTGACGACCCATCCTAAAAGCATTCGTTCCACAAGCACTGAACGAACAACAGACAACAGGATTTCATGTGTTCTAATGGGTTCAGTTTTAAGATTGCCTCACAGTGGCACAGCGATTGAATCTGGAATATTATCACAACACCCACAGAACACAGTACAGGTGTACTCACTACATGCTACTCTTAACTGCTTGATGTTTTCAGTCTGTGTGTAGTAGTGTAAAACTATGGCATGTCACACTTTCCACCAATAGCAGCCCTCTAGTCCACCTGATAAGAAATATTCCCCCTGCACCGCACCAGAATCGACCTCCTCCTTCAGGGATTTTCTCGTGGCCGGTGGACAGTACACAGCGTAACAACCCAGAAGACAGCAATCTTTTAACATAAGAATTAATGCTCAGTGAATTATCAGTATGAAAGACTGAAATGTATGCTACAGAAAATGCTTTAAAATTTAATAATTGTGTTTTTTTATGTGTACCACCTTGTTCTTGTGTCCTTTTTTATCTTTGTTTGGATTCTATCACTTTATAGGACAAAAGGGTACTGTACATAAAATTGTTCGGAACCATTATTGTAGTATGCAGAAAGTGAAAACAAAAGTTGTAGTTACTCGGTCTTATGGTGGTGTGGTTTATTGTATTCATGTGTTGGTAGCTGTAAGTAGTTGTTGGTATTATCACTGTCCAGAATCCCGGTACCTACCTGAGGCATTCTGCTGTCAAGCGGATCCACTTTGGAGACGTAACACACGAACGGAAACTGCCGAAGGTGAGTTCTTTGTAGTTTATTTTCCTAGTTCCAGTATTTCTTTCCAGTTTCTCTATTGTTTTCAAACTCCATTACAAAAATGTTGTATGGTTGTTGTTGGTGCCATTTTGATTAATTGGCTGATTAATAGACATGTTCTTTTACTGATTATTATTTTTGCTTGATTCTTTCATTGGTTGTGTTATATATAATGAAATTTGTTAAAACATGTTTTTGATCCAATATGGTAGACTATTAATAAGAATAAGAAATTTATTACAAATTCAAATGTCTATTAATTTTGGTGTTGTTGGTTAAAGGGATTACTGATTTACTCCTTTAAAGATTGGTTATATATAAGTTGTGAAATGAACTATGTATAATTGAATAAACAGTAGAGTCAGTACTCCCTTTGCACAATAGTATGTTGTTCATTTGTCATATAATGATTAGAGGTGCTATTCAGTTGTTACTTGCACAAGAACAATGGCACTCTGTAGCTTTCATCATTTCACATATGGTGTGAAACTGCAATTTATTCAGGATCTTCTGTTATTCATATTATGTTTGTGTGTGTTGTTGGCTACCTGTGTTCTGTATTTAGCGCTATACGAAGAAACAGTAGATGTAGCCCCATTTATTTTTGCATGTTTACATATGTGTAATCACTGCTTTTCATTTTGAAGTGTGTGTGTGTGTATATTGCTGAGGGTGTGGTATTAAGATCAGTCTTTGGGGAATGAAGGGGAAGCAGTGAAAGAACCGGTTTCAGTCCTACAGTCTTCTAATGAATGCAGCTTGGGGAATTATGAGATGGTTTTACTCATTTATCAGTTCCATGAGATGATGTTATTAAGTTGTCAGTTGACCGACAATAATAGCATAACCTCAAATCATAACACTAATCCTGCTTAGAAAGACAAAATCCAATTCTGTCTTTAGCCACAGTTTTTTTAGCTGTTTCTTTGTTGAAGTGGCTTTCGAGCCAAGAGGAGGATTTAAATGTGCACTGTGTCACAAAAAGGGTTGAAGTAAAGTAAATGTTCTTCTTTTTCATTTTTTGGTGATGTCATTGTGTTTTGGACTGGTTTTCTGACATTTTGGAGTACCCGTCTCCATCTTCAAGGTGAAGGACTGAATGGTGGCCTGTTGCCGATTTGGTTCTGGACCACAAGATAGTGGGGAATTCCATGCTCTGATTGGTAGATGTGTGACCAATAAGGGAGCAGAATGGAACTTAGGCGTTATTTAAGGGCTGGTTTTGTTAGTTTCCTCCTTATGTGAAGTAATTTGGAATGGAACCCTTATCTCAGCTTTTTTTATTTTGATTGAGTAGTTTCTGATGGCTTATTATTTTCATGCTGTTCTCTCTGTTGCTTCAGTACTGAGGAGTTGAGCTTTGCCCTTGATCATTGAAGATGTGTGTGGGGAGGGAAAACAGCCTGATAATGTAACAGGAAATTCAGTCAGTTCAGTATTTTCCAATTCAAAATAACATTGCGGCAAAATCATTTATTAAATTGGATCGGGTGAGACACTGTTATGGTGCAGCCAGCTTTCAGTGTTTATGACCAGGTCATATTTCATTTCCCTTTCCAACTAGTAGGAGTCTGCATGCAACCAGCAAGCTGCTCAACTCTTTAGTAAGCATCATTGTTTGTCATATCAGCTTTCATACTAGAATAAACTGGTAGCTTCCTTTCATTTTTGAAGTTGTAATGTAGACTGACTTGGTTTTTTGCATGTTGCTTTTCACACACGCTGTTCACTTGAACACAGTTTACTGTTCAAGTGGACAGTGTGTAGTGACATGCAAAAAAACAAAAATTCAACATAACACACCAGGATGCTACATTACAGTAATGTAGTTTGACATTGATAGCCTCTTTATACACATCATTAAATCAATCATCATCATCATCATCATCATCATCTTCTTCTTCAAGGCTGTTTCATGACTCACTCATCTGGGTTTTCCCACATATTCTGGCTACAATTCTTGAGAAAACTTTGGTGGGCAATTTTATACAAGGTTAATGAAGATGGTTATCTTCGGGGTTGTAGCATCGTATAGTCTGGTAGAAGTTTACCTGTTTCATAGGCCCTTGCTACCTCCATCATCGCGACCCTGATTATGACGGCAGCAAACTTTTATCAGATTACACAGCACAACTGAAAAGACAGCCTGAAGTTTTATACTAGGTTAAGTAACCATTTCTCTGTTTAGCCCCCAACCTAGAGGACCCGGGTTTCTATGTTTGTTCATAGTTTATTTAACGACACTTTTTCAGTGACTCAGACTATATAGTGTCGAATGAGAGAATGATTATGATTTGGAAAGGATGTTGGAGGCAGTAATGGCCTAATCTAAGGTACTATCCTGGCATTTACCTGGAAGAAAAGAGGAAAACCATGAAAATCCCCGGTCAGGATAAGTATCCTCTGGGCTGAGATTTGAACTTGGGACCTCATTAATACAATTTAGGAGTGTTATGTTAAAGTGGTTCTTGTTTTCGATGGGTTGTCATCTCTTTTATTTTAGAACATCAAACCAATCAAAGCACAGAATTCTCCACCACCTCATGATTCAGAACTGTAGATATCATCACCAGGCTGCTGTTATTTATTTCACCTTCAAAGATGGTTGTAGCTAGGCTCTCTGAAATGTTGGCATACCAGCCCACTACAACAGTGTCAGTACCCAAGATTAGAAATTAAACTAGTTACAAACTTCTAGTTCAGTTTTATTTCATAAAATACATGAAGTATTGTGCATCATCATCTTTTGAGAACATTCATACATACAGTGTTTTCACACTTGTCCTATATTTACATGAGATAAGATAGCTGTAAGAGATGGCTACATGCTGAACTACCTTATTTATAGACTTAAAGATATTGTAGAATGCCATGTAGTTCACCCTGTGTGGAAAGCTTCTTTGAGCAAAAAGTATTTTATTATAAGCTTTCTGTGTTGTATCAGTACTGTTGCAAAGTTTTCCACTCCTTGTCATTTCTTACATGAATGTGCTTTAGAAGAATTTTGTCTGTAGAAGGATGTAATAAGGAGAGTAATTTAAATGTTTTGTTGTGTTAGATTTGTTATTTTCTCTTCAGAGATAGAGAAAAGAAATGTGCTGTGTGTTGCATGTCAGCATTTAGTCATACCACTGGTAGAGAGTTGCTGATTCTGACTTTAGGTAGAACAATGATTTGGTTAATGTGTACTACTACTGCAGAAGTCAAAATGGCTTAAATTAGCTGAACAGCTGTTCTGTTGTAGAAATATTTACTTGAGACCCTTTTGACCAACCAGGCAGATGCTTTAAATTTTATATTGCATTCTTTATGCCTACATTCTACTTCTGAAACTATTTTTAGGTTGTAATGAAATTTTGTATATGATGCTATCCAATGAACAATATAACTCAGGGCTGTATTGTCCCAATTTTGACCGTTATTGAAGGCCATTAACATTTATGTTTAAGTATACATCAATTTGGAGTACACATATTTTTCCTAGTAAATTATTTGCCAGTAAATCTTTCACCTCGATGTTTACTTAGTGTAGATGCAACTTCATAGTTACAAACCTTATGCTGCATCTGAAATAGTACAATCATAATTTTTCTTTGTCATTTGTTAAATATTATGCAGCATTGAAGCGAATTTGAAACAAAAGTTGTATATTTTAACTAGCTGTATTTTTTTTTGCTATGAAGAGTTTCTTTTTTTGTGCATAATGCTTTTTTTGTCTTCAAGTTTGATTAGAATTTTATGCAAATCAGGGAGTTTATTGGATAGATGTGGGTTGAAATTAAATTCATCGAACACCTAGTAGTATAACTTCAAGTACTAAGATTTCTGTCTTCTGGGTTATTGCGCTGTGTAGTCTGGTCGATGTTAACCAACATTTCAGAGGTCATACTGCCTCCATCATCGCCCTGATGACGGATGCAGTATGACCTCTGAAATGTTGGTTAACATTGACAGACTACACAGCACAACAACCCAGAAGACAGAAATCTTCATACTCATCGCTGTGAAAACCTCAATTCTTACTTCAAGTACTAAGTTAAATAACACTGATTAAGGTTTTCTGATATGAACATGCAGACAGTTGTGGCATGCCAATATTTGTAAAAAGAATGCATATAAAAATCATGGGCCAAAAATCAAGACTTTATGGAGGAAAATGTGATTATTGATATACATATATATTGATGTTGAATTTTAGAAGGTCAGCTTGGACATATGTAAGAGTTTACTGCATGGGATCAAATTACAAGGAATTATTTCTATACAGACAGCCATACTCCTTTCAGAATCAAACTGTTTCTCCTCTCTACGTTCCTTTTGCACTTACGTAAACCTCTTTGAGAGGTACATCAGTAGATTGGATTCAGAACATTTTCCACCTTTATCTTATTTTGTAACTTTCTTATTTAGGAACTTTCTTCACAAGTAGTGTTTTCTTTCAGCTCGACGTGAGATGGGAGATGGTAGCTTGTGGGAAGACCCAAGATCAGTTGGATCTTACAGAACAAGCACACAAACTTCTCAATATGACCACTACACTCAAACCTCGTTCGCTGAACCTGTAGAGAACTGCACATTGGGATGGGGTCTTCATATAGCATGCAGTAGTACAGAGGTGAAGGCTTAGCTACTCGGTGTGGATGCTTTATTGATATGTTCCTGTGGACTGCAGGCTGTATGCCGGCCCTTTAAAGGGCATGTACCTGTGGAAGAAAGAAATGGACCTCATCAGCTGTAAGTTGTGGGGACCTGCAACACATGTGTTGCCTATAGAGTGCCGCTTTGAAGGCTTCAGTGGAATCTCATGCATTTGCTATATTTATTTACATAATTTTAGAACCTTTAGAAAAGTTTCTTTGTAAATTTGCGGTATAAGATGACTTTTTGAGTGTTCAAATGCATATGTATGTTCCCTGTAATCTGATGTTTTGGGGACTGTAATGTGCATGTCTGTATATGACAGTAATCCTTTAGAATTCCAAGTCTTTTGCATCACACTTGTTTATATGTATAACTTAACACTTTGTCAATCTCCTCGAGTATTGAGATTGAGGAGTTTAAAGAGACTGATGATATTATGACATGCAGAAAAGAAGATTAACCTAAGAATTCACTAACAAGGAAGGAAAAGTAGTGATGATACTCCTTGTATTCTTTTGCGAGAAATAGGTTTGGTAATTGTAAAAGGAAATTAAATCTAAATCTTAGTGCAAATTAGGGTAAATAAAATTATGTAGGTAAATACAGTGCTTTTAGATCTGCTTGTTATAAATGTTATGTCATTTATTTTAAGAGTTCTCGTTTGTGCATTGTTATACTGATTTTTTTTATTTTTGCACACTTAATGAAAATTAATGTTTTGTATAAATGGTGAGGAGATAAAAGTCTCAGGAAAAATTATTCTTGAGCCATTATAATGTCTTAACAGTTTACAGTACATATTTATGAATGAGATACGTGTTAATGCATGGATAGAATACTTAAGAATGCATGTTGACAAGATGAACATTTGTTCACAGTCTGTGTAATATAAACTAGGAATACAATACAAGAAAATTTGAACCATGGTCACCTTGAGCAGTATTTTGCCCAGGGGTTCTCAGCCTTTGGTGTGTTGGACTACATGATGCCTGGCAATATGTTTTGTTCAGCCTGTGTACGTTTTTATGATATTGTATCAATGTAAAAATAGAAAAAGTTGCTACTAACATAAGTTGTAAAAAACCCATTTAATATTAAATGGTTAATAATTAAAACAAATAAGAAATCTGTTAATGAAAATAATTGAATAATATGTGAACCTGTTTGCAATAATAAATTAGTTTTATACTTTTTCTAATTGTGTTAATTTATAGCCTGGTGGCCTGCGACTTCATAAGAAGGGGTAAATAGGTCCCAGGTCTTAAAAGGTTGAGAACCCCTGACTTAGCCCTTTGGAAAACAATTTTGTTTGTTTGGCACACCCTTGTAAAGTGAGTTTTGTTTTTCCACGCTTTTATTATTTCACCAGTTGAAAACAAGCCTATCTGCATCTGATACTCAGACTTAATATATTCATAATATGGTTCTTCAAACTTTGTTTTCTTTTCGTTGTACTGTCATGTATACAGGAAGAAAGCTAGGATAAATGGCTGAAACAGACTGCAGTAAGCCCTTGATATCTGTTGTAATCTGGGTCTTTAAAATGTGATGGATACAGAAGTATTGAATCCTGTTAAAATGGTAATATTTTATACATGCAGGTATGTATAGAATTACATTTTTAGAAAATATTTAATATTTTAATAATTTTAGTAAGGAGCCTAAAGTGCTGCTGTTGAGGACTGTAAAGTATTTCCAATTCATGTCTCTACTGAACATTCATTTTCCAGCACTACTATTCAATTTTGGTTCCAAATCATGGCTTCTTGGCTTTTTTAATTGACTGTCTGCTGATTTTACTGTAAAAATAAACAAAAAATTGGCTAAGTACTACTGGCCTGTGAAACAGTGGAAGTGCTGTTGATTAACTGAAGTATGTGGTGCATCTAATACATGTTCTATGTTATATTTATGAATGCCGGGTAATAGAAGACCAACAGGTAAAGGAAGCTGATGATGGCAGTTATGGAAACTGTGATGTTAAAGAGTGGGTAGATGGATATGAGAAGTGGTGAATTTAGAATCAACAGGTAACGGGCTTACTGTAAACAGTTCCAAATTGGTTTCACTACATAATTGTAAATAGTAACATTACAGTGTCCTAAGTTCAACGGAATGTAAAGGCAGTTACATAGTGACTAATCAGAGCTAGAGTTCAGTTTGTAAAAACTTAAAATGTATTTCTTGTGTGTGTTTAATCAGAAGTAACTGCAGATTCTGAATTCTTGTATGGATTTAAAAATTATTGCCAATAAATTTGTCTCATATTGGCTCCATACAACTATGCAAATTACTACTTTCCATATCAAAATAGTAGTTAATTGTTTAGGATTTGAGGTTTTCACAGTGGTGAGTCTGAAGCCGGGTGCCTTCTGGGTTGTTGCAACATGTAGTGTGGTAGAAGTGTGCCAATGTTACATAAGTGCTTACTGCTACCATCAAACTACCAGACTACATGTCACGACACAGAAAACAGCAATTTGAAAGTTATTAGATTCCTTCATTCAGACTTGTCATTATAGTGCTAAGAATAGTGTGTAATTGATCATATTATTTTCAGTATGCGTTTTCATTACTATTACCAAATATTGGTATATTTATTTCATTCTGTTTCAATGTTGTAAGTCCAACACCATGTGGTTCAACAATGACTTAGCAACTTCATACATTTAGTGATAACAGCAAAGCATGACTGACACCAAATGGTGTGGTTGTTATGACATGACAGTCAGTTTTACAGTGCATTTGTCACTCACCAAATCATTATTTTGATATAGCCAACTATACTAAATACAGGTTCAGTTTTTACAAATTGTGTACAAGTACTGAATGTGGTATTGGGGGGGGGGGGATCATTATTTTAAAATAGATTTCCAAACCAGCCATGGAACTTATGCAGTTAAGGATTGTTTTTAAGAATCCTTTATATGTTAAATTAATGCTTTATTTTAAATGCAGAACTTTCAGAAGCAACAACACATTTTTAAGACACAAGATTTAACTTCAATAATTTCTCCATGGCTATTTTGAATCTCATCTCTCTTTTTCCTGTGTTAATGTGACATACTAGGAGGTCACATAATTTGCATTTGTATGATGTTTGAATTCCATGTCCTGTTGATTCACAGTGCACCCCCGCCCCTCCTTTGCACCATCTGTTATTTTCTGTAGTGACTTGAGCGAACTTCTTCCTGCCTGTACACTTCCACACTGTGAAAGTTTTGATCAGTTGCTGCAAAAAGTTTATTCTGTAATTTAGCTACCTGTTGTAAAGTGCAGGGTGTGATGGTTCTCTAGTCATATTGTAGAGAATAAAGTTATTTAAAATCCACACATTTATTATGAAATTAAAAACTTCTTTAACTTTTTAGAAGATCTTCCAATGCCACTCAAATCTACTCCCTCATATTTAATGTGCAGTTAGTATAGGAGCGTGATTGTTTGCTTTTCTTCTCGCTTCTTCGTGCTTCTTTTTCACTCTTTCATATAGGAGCGTGATTGTTTGATTTTCTTCTCGTTTCTTCGTGCTTCTTTTTCACTCTTTCATCAAATCTCAGATCCAAATTTATAGAACGAATCAGGACATTACGTTTATTGTGCCTTGCAACTATTTTGATGTTATGTAATTTATGTGACTCCCCATATTTCAGTTTCTTCCATACTCTGATCCTTCATTAGTGGGTAGAATATAATTGAACAGGCATCAGGCCAAGAATATTTTTGAGTGTTCAGGTTGACGTGGGATTTAATGTCTCAAGCATTATAGATTGTTGTTCTTGCTAAAGATTACTACAGCTCTTCCCTTCCAGAGCCTTAAATGTTAATAACTCTTCAAGACTCAATGACAGTGAAACAAATTTAGATACATGTTGTAACAACATTTTGGGTTAAGATCATTTTCACATACTTTGAAATGAAATTAAATGAAAATGACTTGGTTTAACTGTGTATTAAAGCTTACTTCCTTAATCATCATAAAATTCATGTTTAGACTACAACAGGCTGGTGCATATTGTTGCTACTGGAATAATTTGTAAATTCCATCAGTAACTGCATCTCTGACCTTTGGTGTCTGAAACTACTTTTCTAGTAGTGCATTGACAATAGTAGTAGGATTGACACCTGATTTCAAGGCCTTTCTTTGGCCCCTCACATCCTATCACCCCAGAGATATTCTGAACATTATGGTGAGACTTGAACTCTAGGTGTGCTTCTTTTCAGCTTTATATAGTACAATTACTTTACTCGTTTTTTAACATTTATATTGATCCTTTTTAGTCCACTGTCAGGTATTAGGCCATGTGGCTTGCTATGGTTACGTGCCAGTTCTTCACTTGCCTTTCTAAATTTCTCTTCCCCGTGGGCTTGTGTGTTGTAGTCTGTTTTGGTATTCGATTGTTTTCCATCATCTTACTTGCTGTTTCCAATTAGTTTGTTAATTTTGTATAAATTTGATGATTAATTGAATTGTTAATGGTTCTAAAATGCTTTTATTTTGTTTATGGTCTATAACCACCAGTTCTCACACAGTACTTCTAAAAATTATTTATGTCTTTAAGTAAATTGATGGTTTTTTCAGTCTGTATGTTCTGACATCTTTATTTCTGTGAGCTATTGAACATTCCCAATGTCAAATTTTGGTAAACCACCTGCCTGACTAAGAGACACGTGAACTTACACAGTAAAGCTAGTATTTATGTTGACATTGTACATGCACATTTGCCATTTCTGTCAACATTTTCTGGATAATGAGTGAAGTCCTGCCAAACAGTAGAGAAATTAATTATTAATGGCTGCTAAAATAATTATGAGTTGTTGGATGAAAGTGAAAATTTTGTCAGTGATAGAAGTTCTTTTTAAAAAAAAGTCCATATAATAAAAATTCATATCCAAACAACAAACCTTTGGTCAAAGTAGAGATGTAGTCATATCTTCAGGTCTTCACCGATATGTCATTTGCCTAACTGTTACTAGTTTACATTCTTATAAAATGTCCAGGCACATGACAGCTAATTTTGTTGTGCTACTGTTGAACTAAGCTAACATTTGTTGACTTCTGGTCATAGCTAATGCAATAGGTAAACAATATCTTCTGAAATATAATGTGAAAGGTATATATCTTATATGAACTAGTGGGAAAATATCTCCTTTCCTTTGTGTCAGAAGGAGATATTTGTATGAAGGCTCAAGTAGTTGACTTCTTTTCTCAGATATAAATAAAAGGACATTTATCATACATCAGCTTACACAGTGTATGTCAAGGGCATTTCTGCATTGTATATAGCACATGGGCTATTAAAAAGAAATACAGTAAAACCTCTCTAAGTTGGACTCTTGGGGTTCCACGAAAATGTGTCCAACTTACAGAGGTGTCCAAGATAGAGGGACTTACGTACACTAACTACTGTAGGCTTACTTGAATTAAGAATTAATGACAATAGCATTAATAACAATCTTTTGAAGCCCACTCCCATGCATTGCACATTACACCCCAGCCTCAATAACATCTTCTAAAGTTAATTCCACCAATTTTCGCTTCCACATCACAAAAAGAAAAATTCCATTTCTGTTAACACAGTCTGAACTCAAATTCAAGCACAGTACTGATGAAGTTAACACTGTCTTCTGCAATACTCTAGTCCAGTTAAGGGTTCAGCAAAATAATAGTTAAACACTTGCAATGCATTCCAATGATGTGTTCAATGTCCGTAAGATAATCCTCCAGAGAGGAGGCATTCATCAGTCAGAAATTCAAAATAACAAAACATGTAACTGAAAAAGTTTCCCTGAAAAGCTACTGAAGCTAAGCGCATGAACCTGTTCAACTTACAACAAAAAGGGTGTTCAAGTTCCAGGATAAAGGGGTGTCTAAGATATAGGGTATTGTGAACATGTAAAATTATAGGATATTTGCCGGTTCCAATTAAAAGTGTCCAACTTGAGGGGTTTTACTGTATTAGAAAACTTTAAACTGTCTGATTATGATACTGTGAAATATGATAACTCACTCAGTATAAATTTGTAGGGTTCAGTGTGGATAAGTCTGATACCAGGCGTTGTATTCACATTGGCTTTGGAGTTCACCCAGCCTTGTATCCAGCAGGTATTTTTATCTACCTGGAGTTAATATGACGAGAGGGTGAATGTGAACATTCATTTCAATCTAACATGGAAATCTGGCATGTATGAAGCTTTACCTGTACTCCCCATATACACACCATGGTACTTGGTACAGAAGTGACTTTTACCTAAACATTTAACAGTGGCACAGTGATTGAGAATAATATGTAGTGGACTCGTGTGCAAGGAACTGTAATGAAGGAATTGTCTGAAAAATTGCTATGGTTGTTTTTTTTAAGCTCTAGTATTTATATTTGTTGAATCTGTGGTTGCCTTACTGAGACATTTAACCACTTGCTGTGCTCTAGGTGCTGGCATCCAGTGTATTAACACACACTGACTGTCTCTGTAGCATGTGACTGCTGTGGTAAGGACCTAGCCAGTAGCATGATTAATTAAATCAGTGAAGAGAACATGCATCAAATTCTGATGGAGTGAATTGCATTAAAATTTTATTTTGGATACCATTTAATGCCACATTTCCTCGGTTTTAAGATGCAGTTTCTTCACATACTAAATTTTTTGAAATTGGAGTGCTTTCTACATTTGATGGTGTCAAAGAATCGATATAACATCTTTTTTCCTGAAAAACTATTACTAAATCAAGGCTGTATCTCAAATCAATGGCGTCATAAAATCGAGGGAATACAGCATTATTTTTAAATATCGTAGTTTATATGACCACATTTAGTAGGAAACCATTTTTAGAAATTGGTAACAGTGGAGAAAAGAGAGAAACAGTGTTGGCAAACTGCAGCAGATGAATTTGGTTGTTTTTTACTGCTTGAGCATGTAGGTTGTGTTTCATGGTATGCTCCTGAATCATTTAACCCTAAGTGTTTCTTGTTGTGAAGAGTGCATACTCAAGACTGGCACCTAGGACATTACCTTACTAATCTTCTCTGCAACTCATAATCACTTTTATGTTTATTGGATTTTAACCATAAGTTGAATTAGTGCAGTGTTAATGGTACAAATAAAGATTAACAATTGTGATTCATGGATCTGGATGTGTGACCATTTACAAATTTGTGTTAACAAAAGAGATCTTTATGCAACTGACTGCTTTCCTTACGAGGTTCTGCTGTTCGACTGTGTGCCTTAATAAGTTGTTAAGTTTTCAGACAAGTTGTATAGTTTATTTGTAGCTAATGTACA